TCTCTCCCTCTGCTGCCTCCCACCCTGCTGGGCACATGTGCACTTTCTGATAGACAGACAGACACTAGAAAATCTAAAAGTGGAAATGTGGCTGGCATTATATTTTTATTCTACCAAACTGTTTTGGAGTAGGAGTCAGCAATTTATAGCCCTCAGGCCAAATCCGGTATGTTGCCTGTTTTTGTAATAAAGTTTTATTGGAACATGCTCATTTAGCTGTGTTGTCCGTGGCTGCATTTGCATTATAATGGCAGAGCTGAGTGTTTGTGACAGAACTGCATGGCCTTAAAACCTCAATACTTTACTAGGTGATCTTTTTTAAAAAAAAAAACAGTGCTGACTCCTGCTCTAGATTATAAATTCTGCCCACTAGACCTTAAGCCCAATATTTTGTTCATCCTTAGTTCGTAAGGTCTTGCCCTTCAGGGTCTTAATAAGTATTTATCAAATAAAGGTAATGAAAGAGTGAGGAGTTTTGATGATGTATTCTTTAAATCTTTAAAGTGTGAGGAAGAATGTAATTTTTCTGGAGATGGTAGTTGGTGGAAATATGGGAGATTTAGATCAGGCTCTAAGTTTAATTCTGTGTCTACGGTAGAAGACAAAGAGTTAAAAGCTGACATGAGTGATATAAATGAGGGACTGGACTGGGTGTCAGGAAATAGGGAGTGGTGAGGACTGGAGTACATGGAGGAACACATATCTGACTAAAGGGGCAGCTGCCGTTCCACGTTGGCCAACGGTGGCCATGTGGGACTGTGGGCTAGGTGTGGTATGAGCTTCTGCTCTTCTCAAAGGAAGCAGGAAATTCACATATTTTCATTTAAATCTCCCCCATTTGAACATGTTAAAAGCTAATTTAATTTTTTTAGAACAATGGTGAGCCAAACCAAACGTGATTTTAAGGTGATCTGACCAAGGGTGTCCAAGTAACTTCTTTCTGGAGAGGTAATTGCTAATGAACATAAGTGGTTTTAAGTCAGCTTGGCTTCTCTACCCAAGGAAAGCTTATTCAGCAGGCCATGATTTATTCACCTGTTCATTCGTTCACTTATACATTCAACAGGTATTTCCTGAGGGCTGCTTATATCTCCCAGGCACTGTGCTTAGGGCTTCTCCATGACTAAGCTGTGTTCATTCTGACAGCTGAATGCTTATCACTGATGAATGGGTTGTCACAGGGAGCAAAGTAGATAATACCTCTGATGGGCTTTGTCAAATATAACATGATACGCTAATGTGAGCTATTTTTGTTTATTACTGTATGTAAAAACCCAGCCAGTGGTTGATAAGACATGGAGAAATCTAAGGTCTTGAGATTTTGAGGATTAAGGATACATGCTAAGCAGTGTCATTTTGTCTGCCTTTAGGTTTTCTTAAAAACAATGGAAGAGGTTCTTCAATTGCCCACTTGGATTGATGTGTCAGAGGTAAGAAAAAATAGAATATTTTTGATTTTCAAAATGTATGTACTTTGGGGACCGGTGTGTCTTCCTGGAAGTGGTGTAAATATGGCCCAATTCACATCCCTAGGAGAAATGATGCATCTTCCAGTCTTGCTATCTGGGACATTTGAGCTCATTTTGACCAGATATACAGATTGGAAGTGCCTCATCTTCTGTATGGCTCAGGAATTGTGTGGGTGTTGGTAATGTGTTATTCTCCTCAACACCAAGCAGGGAAATGGTTGCATTTCTTCATGAGGAGTGGATACTTGGTTGACCTCTATGTATCATTTTAATAAAATATTTTTCACTGTCATATTGTTCTTGAGTGGTAATAAAAAAAAAGTGTTTTATGTTTAGAGATCACTAGATTAAGTGAAAAAAGTGAAACATGTGGCAATATGTATTTCATGGTTATAAACATAAAAACCAAAAAAGCTTCTCTTTTCCCCTGAACTCCAAATAATTAGGATAATGGAATATATATATATATTTAAAAGTAACTTCGTTGACTTTACTATTTAACAAATAAAACAAGTTAATGTGTTGTGGAGAAGGTAGAAACTGCAGATAATAAAAACCGTATGAAAGAGCAGTCACCTGAAGTCCTAAGGCAGACCATGACTGTGAGCACTCTCGTACATGTCCCTTCCTGTCTTGCTTTTGTTTCACTTGCATGCACATATATTGTACAAATACACTGATGTCTGATTTAATCTGGTTGTCTTTAGCTACGTGCAGGACCATTTCCAGCGACACTGGGCATATCAGGCAGCCTAGGCTAGGCTGTGCTGCGGTAACAAATAGACCCCTGCATTTCAGTGGTGTAGCACAGTTGAAACTTACTCCTCACTCATGCAAAGTCCAAAGTGGGTCCGAGGAGCCTTTCCTCAGTCCAGTGACTTTGGGGTCCTGGCTCTCTGTCCATTTTCTGATGATGCGGTCTCAACACGTGACGTCCAAGGTTCCCCGGCAGGGTGGAGGACTCTTAACTGCTTCCCTCAGCAGAGCCGCAACCTGGTGTAATATTCAAGTGCTCATTCTCCTGAACCCCTATGATGTTTAAAAAATATTTGGCAGTTTGAGGCAGAAATGCTGCTAATGAGATTGCAGTAGGGTTTATATTTGAACTTTTTATTTGAACAGTTTCAAATGGAATGAGATGGAGTGAACACTGGCAAAGGGAGGAAAAAAGGGGACCTGAATTTAAGACTGATACAGTCTTACATAGAAACAGATTCTTTTTTAAAAGGCACAACCCTCCAGAGTCCTTGACTTCCAGGGGGAGTCTGTGTATAGGGCTGCAGCATGGGAACCCCCCGGAAAATGGCCAGTGGAGGGCCTGAGCAGACCCATTTCATCAGCATCATTTTAAAGTAACTTTTTCTGAATGCTCTGCCACAAAATATGAATAATCATGAAGCTATTCAGATTTAGGCAGGCTCTAATGTGCGTTCAAGAGAAGGTATGAATCAGTTACTGCCCAACAGAATTGCACGCCAGAGACACAGATTTCCATGTGTTTAACTATGCTCGGCTGATTAAAATCAGGCCACAGACAGGCCTCAAAGAAAATGTCTAAAATTGGCCTCAGTGTTCTATTTCCAGCTCATTAGATTCTCATGGCCTGTGAATCTATGAGAGAATGCTTAGCAAACAGATGCTTTTCAGAAAGGCGGGGAGGATGGAAGGGGCATGATGGCAGAACGCACAGCCACCACGCACCTGAGGGGCTGAGAGGCCCTGTCCCCAGCAGCCGTGTGTCTGATGATGAGGGCCAGTCAGCCCCGTCTGAGCTGTCTGCAGAGATACGGGGTGACCAAGAGGGACCCCTGCCTTCTTGGGGGCAGCATCCACTGGGATCCTCTCTGTGTTGGGGACTCAGAAGGAGTGAAGAGGGCCCTTGGAGGGAAGGGATGCACCAGGCAGGTGGGAGGCCAGAGAGGATTTGGGGTGCTGACACCTCCAAAGCATCCCTCCCCTGCATGGAGAATAGGATGAAGCTTCTGGTGTCCTTGTCCTGGAGGGGACTTGGGGCCTTTAGCCCCCTCCTCCTGAGACAGAAGGGGGCAGGGCAGGGGGCCGGTCAGAGATTTGTGGAGGTGAGTTCAGAGTGCAGCTGGGCCCAGGTCTCTGTCACCTGTGTCTAAGCATAGAAGCCTTGCAGCCAACGGCCCGGGTGACCGGGATGTCTGCGTGCTGTGAGCTCAGCCGGGTGGATGACCTCGGCGACCACTTCCTCGCCTGTAAGAGGGCTAGTGCTGGGGGCTCTCCCCCGTTCCTTCTCATCTGCTCATCGAGAGCACAAGCCTGGCCCGCCATGGCCTCCAGAGATGCAGCGTGCTCCTCCCGTGGAGGGGTGCCGCGGGGCCAGCGCGCAGCCTGGCGGAGTGTTCCGCGGGGGGGCCTCAGGTGGGCCTCAGGACACTCGCTGTGCAGGTTCTGTTGGCTCAGTGCCTTCACGTTGTGTTGTGTTCAGGACAATACCATGGTGCTGGGCTTGGTCGAGACCGTCGACATTGTCATGGACCACATCTCTTCCAACCTGGACCCCAGCGAGCCCCAGGTCACCATCGTAGGCTCTTCCTCCATGGCAGGTACTGGTCAGCTCGGTGTGGGATGCGGCCATGGGTGCAGGCGGGGCGGCGGGAGACTCGGGAGGGCAGCCGGCCTGTGGGGTTTGCTCTGACGGCCCCGCGCTCACCTGCACAAGCAAGTGCGTACACACTCGTGCACAGGGGCGCACACACCAGGGTGTGCATTTGCACACACAGCGGGCAAAGGTGCACACACGTAGCAGGAAACACACATCGGCTCAGACAGACCTCTCTGCTTTTCTAAACGACATTGCCCTTAATGAAAATTACACTTCGGAGGGAGAGTGAGAGCGGGGCACGTGTGCTCAGCCATGATGTGGACACAAAGCTACGGAAGCGTTTGATGGCGACTCGGGCCCGGACTGATCTTGTGTAGCAGTCCCCTCTGTTCAGAACAGGAGTCGGTATCAGCAGCTCCTCTGAGTGTCTGTGGAATAAAAGCTGCAGAATCAGGTTTCCGAGAGCCAGCTGGAGCCCTGGCCTGAATCTGCTTTTCCAAGATAATCGGCGCAAAGTCCCTCACGCGCTGACTTCATGGCCCCTCCATTTGAAAAGTCTTTATCTAGGGACCATTGCACTGCTGCTACGCTCCTGCAAGAGCCGAACTCCGGGACAGGGGTTGAACTGACCCACGGAGGTCGGTTTTAGGGGGAATTTGTCGGCTGAGATAGTGACTGATGGCTGGAAGGCCAGCATCTCTGGCAGCTTCCTTCTCCTGTGTGTCATGGGTCCCCAGAGTGTGGTGAGGAGCAGCCCTGAGAGCTGACGGGCTGCCCTGAGGGAAGGAGGGGTCACCTCGGGCCACGAGGCCCGCAGTGTGTGGCTGGATGGCCGTGTCAGCCATACAGTGGAAATGACGTCCTCGGACCCTTATTTTTGTAGGTCGTCATTTTCTAGAGGTAATTACACTGCCCAGGGGAGCTCGTTCTGTTAACAAAAGCAGAAGCAGATGGGGTTTGACAGCCCAGTTTCCTTTGCTGAGCAGCTTACTGACTGTGGCTTCCTGTCTTTGGCTTGTTCTCAGAGTTTTCTGTGGCCAAACTCCTACCCGAGACCATGAATTCCTCCCACTACCGCTTCCCGGCCTGGGGGCAGAGCTACATCGAGGTTCCCCACAAGGCGTTCCGCAGCCAAGGTAAGTGCAGCTGCTGAGCCCGCCCCAGGACCTCGGGGGCTCGGCCCTTGCGGACGAGCGGCCGGCCGTTACCTGGAGGATGCAGCGCCCTCAGGCCTGCTCGCTGTTCCCGCAGGAGCGGCTCTGGGCCAGCACTTCTCAGCGGGTCCTGGCGGGCGCCTGAGATGCTCACTCAGAATGCTGATTCCAAGTGCGCCCCAGCCTCGTGAACTGGAACTGGGGAGGAGGCTGGGAATCTGCATTTTGGACAGGCTCTCGAGGTGATGCTGGTCCACTGTGAAAGACACCTGTGTCCTCCCAGATCGGCACAGTGACATGTCAGCAGAATATGAAGAGACGAGGCCATCCCCCTTCCCCCATCCAGGGTGGCCTCCGGCTAGGTGAGGGGTTTGTCTGCCCAGGGGTCTACTTCCATCTCCGGGGGCTCAGGCAGCTCTGGCCATTTTTGCTACAGTGATAGTCCCTCTGGCCCCTTGAAAAGTGAGTGCCTCCACTGCTTGTCCCTTGGGAAGTCGGGGATGGGCCTGTGGCCTTGGATTCACAGGTCCTGACAATCCGGCCAGAGGACATGCGATTCTCAGAGACTGGGGACCAAGAGCAGCCTGGGTGGTATAGGATCATGGTGTCCCCTCCCCAGCAAGGAGTTGTCACTCGCCAGCCCTCGGGGCCCATCTCTGCTCCCTCTATGTTCTTGTTTGCTGTGTAAAAGGTGCCTGGAGATGTCACAGGACACCCCCCCCACATGGGGTGAACTACAGAAACGGGGGGTGTCTGGGGATGATGCTGTGATCTGCCAACTACGCACGTGATCTTTGCTCATCTCATACCACCCGGCTGCAGGATCTAGAAACCCTCCGCTTTTCACACTCGGCAGGGCTGTGGCCTCATGTTCTGCCCTGTGGCAGCAGGATTTATTGGTCACAAGGACCGACTGGTGGCTGGACTTCCCAAGCTCCAACCCTGGTTCAGCCACTTACTGGCTGTGTTACTGAACCTGCCTGCGTTACAAACTCCTCATCTGTAAAATGGGGACAATATTAGTACTAGACTCGTAATATCGTTTTGAGAAGAATGAGCAAAGCCCTTCTACCTGGCACACCGTGAGAGTGATACGATGCTAAATGTATTCCTGAAATTTTAACGTATTCAACGAATATCCCGGAGGAACCCCAGAAGACAGCTAACCACTTCCTCCTCCAAGCGTCCTCTGCTAAGCTAAAAATGATTCCTGTTTCAAAGTCGTCATACAGGACGACTGCGTGAAGGACACCTGCGTGATCGCCACCACTTGTAAATCCTGCATCTGCTGCCTCGCTCACGTCTTCGCGTGGCTGCAAATACTCCGTATGCCAACAGCAAACAGGACATACTCACCCAGAGGACGCAGAGATGGCGGCTGGCGCGGTGCCCGCTGCTGGAGCGGGGCCCTCCGCCCTCAGAAACTCTGGCGTTCCTGGCGAGTCAGGCTCTCCCCGGGAGCCGCGGCATCTGCGTGTCTCCCGTCGGCTCAGAGGAGGGGCACGCAGTCACTGCCACCGTTCAAGCCACAGCTGAAGGGTCACAGAGTTTCTACTCAGGCCCCTGAGAGTCCCGCCCCCACCCCCAGGAGCTGCCCCCGGGTTTTGAGTGTGAGGGCAGGCACTGCGCTCTGCTGGGCAAGCGGGTGTGGCTGGGGCTCTGCCGCTGGAAGGCTGACAGGTGTCTGTGACCCTCTTCTTTTCCGCAGCCTGGACCACCATCGTGGGCCTTCTCTACCACAGAATGCACGATTACCTGGACCACATCCAGCCAGCCAAGACCAAGTGAGTGTCTCGGGTGACACGGCAGGGAGAGGGCAGGGAGAGGGCAGCGGGCGTGTGTGCACCTGCCCGCCGGACGGCTGACCGCGGAGACGCCCCCCGCCTGCCCTCACAGGTCTACAGGGCCGTAGAGCACTCGCAGTGCACGCCTGGGGCTTTTCTATTAGGGCCAGGGCACAGCCCGCGGAAGCGGACGCAGGACCTCGGCGCTGGGGGTCAGCGGCCCTGGGCGCGCAGGCTGACGGGGCAGGGGGCAGGGGACCACAGCCGCCCGGAGCTCCCGGTGCATGGACGAGTGCCTGCACCGCCGAGCCTCGCCGCCGCTTGTAGGGCGGGGGACAACAGCACACGCTGCATCAGTCAGGGCTGGTTGGGTGCGCGGCCGCCGGCGGACGGCGGCGAGGCCAGGGGCTCGTGGGACGGGGGAAGGCTTCAGGCACGGCGGGACCCAGGGCCCGGGGAGGCCTCCCGACCTGGTCGCTCTGTCTCCCGCCTGGGCTCTCCTCTATGCTGGCTCCTTCCCAGGCGGGCCCCTCCACAGAGGCACGGCTGGCTCCGGCGGCTCAGGACGCCCCGGCTGGGAGTCCCGAGGTCTCGTAAGGACAGCAGCCTCTTTCCCGAACGTGTGCGTGGAAACTCAGGCAGGGCTGTGATTGGCCCGTTCGGGTCATGTACCCATCTGGCTCCTTCCAATCATGGTGGCCGGAGCATCCTGCTCTGTCATTGGCCAGGTCTGCTCACATGGGCTCTGTGGAAACTCGGGGAAAGCTGTGATTGGCGTGCTTGGGTCATGTGCCCATTCTGGCCTCCCCCATCACGGTGGCCGGGGTGTGCTCACGTGGCCCCTGCGGCCTGGCGGTGGGTCAGCCCGCCCAGAGCGCGGGGAGAGGCGGGTTCCTGGAGGGGAGGGGAGGAGAGGGGAGGGGAGGGAGGCTGGCGCGGCCGCCTCGGGGGCACCACAGCCCGCTCCCGTGTGGCCCTGGGCCCGATCGCCCCGGGAAAGCCTGCGCTTTGGCGACATTCCTCGTAACTAAGGGAGGGGACCGGCCACTGCTGCTGTGCGATTTCCAGACTCCTTCGGGGGGTTGTCGAAGGGAAATGCCGTCACCTTGCCTCAGAAGGATGCCTTCTCAGCTACCTGGGGGCTCTTCCTCCAGACCCAGATTACGGATGAAGAACGGTAGCCGCGGCTCCCACGCGGGACGGTCAGGCTGAAGCTGGCGTGTCGGTGGGAGCCGTGAGGCGCGTGTCCGAGGCGCGGCCAAGGGCGAGAGCGCGTGGGGCGAGCGGCGTCCTCCCGCCTCGGCCGGGGGCGGAGAGAAGGCGGGTCGCCCTTCACCGGGCAGTTCCCGGGCGCCGTGCAGAACCGTGGCTGGCCGGCGGCCGACGCACCTCTCCACGACGGGACAGAGTAACTGTCTCTGCGTCCGCAAGCCGTAGCGTCTCCGTCCCGGCTGCTCGGTGGGCCGGGCCGCGCGAACGCAGCCTCAGACGAGACGCGAAGGAACGGGCGGCGTGCCCACGAGCTCTCCAGGCCCCAGCGGCCCCCCAGGCCCGCGTTTGCGCGCCCCTGCTGGCCGCGCTCTTGTGCCAGTGGATGGGGGCGCTGGGTGTCCCGCGCTGGGGAGTCCAGGGATGCGCTCGAAGCCTGGCAGCGGGGACAGGCGCCCGCACAGAGGACTCTCGGGAGCCTCGGACCGTGCTGCACGATCCAGATCGCCGTGGTCAGCTCCCCCTGTCCCCGCAAGCCGTGCGCCCTGGGACTCGCCCAGGCAGAGGGCGCCCCTCACGGCCCCACCTGTTGGCATTAAGGCCTGTGGACCGCTTGCACCGTCAGCAGCAAATGCGTGCTCAGTTGGTTTCCCGAAGTCAAAACAGGACTATATTGCCGTGACGAGAACGTATTTTTCATGTGTGGAATCTTCAGCTTCAGGGAAGTTCTAAGGGCAGCACTTAATGCAGAAGTGTCTTATTGTCAGAATTAGCCTTGAAAAAAAACCGTCCAAGTGGTTCAGCAAGCATGGCCCCTGTACTTGCTGTCTGCCCTCCTGTGGGGTCAGGTGGGACCGGAGTCGGCCAGCAGCGTGGTAGCCCGCAGCGCGGGGTTGGGTGCGGGGCGCCCGGGGCTCTCTGCCCAGCGGGGCCCTTGGCGGCGGTGTGAACCAGGGCGACGCCGGGCCGTCTGGCTGTGTGCTCCCGTCTAGAATAGTGATGACGACGGACCGACGTGGGAGGCTGCCGTGAGCGCGGAGTGAGTTGACTGTTTAAACGAGGCTTGGTGCTTTTAAGGTGACACGTAAGCACTTGCTTTCATCACCTCATAAGATGGACGTTCTCGCCATGTTGACCGGAAGACAATTCTCAAATTCCACACGCAGTTAGCAGGAGAGGAGTAGAATCAGCAGATAGCATGCTGGTCTGCTCGCCTACACAGCGAGTCCCTTTCCTTTTAGTATCATGCGCTGTGACCTTCATATGTGTACGGTTTTTATAAGAATGAAAGGTGCTGTGGAATTGTAATGTCCTCTCCATCCCCTTTTGGGGTGAGGTGGAGTCAGCACGAGTTTAGTGCATGAAGATGGGGGGTAGGCTGGGACGGGGTCTCCACCTTCACAGCCAAGCCCTGGGTGGGCCGTTCCAAGGACCCAAGCAACCACTCCTGGGGGCAGAGTCTGAGTGTCCACGGGTCCTGGGGGGCACTTGGCCGGTCCCTGCTACACCCCCTGCACACGGAGGGTCTCACCTGCCCCATCAGTTGGGGGCGCCAGGCAAGCTCCTGGGACTGCCTTTCCCTTCGAGTGGGGCCGAACGGATTGGCCCGTCAGACGGCTGGGCAGGGAGTCTGGAATCACCTGCTCCCACTGCCCCTCTGAGGTGGAGACCCGGGCCCGGAGAGGGGATCACTGCCAGCTGACAGAAGCAGGGCGGTGACTCGGTTCCTGGGTTTCCGTGTCTTGTTGACAGACTCACGTGCTTCCGACAGATAAGTTCCCGGAGGGTTTGGCTTGGTTTACGTGTCCGCACTTGTTCTTTGTAGAGTAATGCCAACCAAACAATGCAGAAGGAACGACAGAATTGGGAAGACACCATCTTGGAGCCCTAAGTGTAGTTACTGATCAGGGCAAAGGTCATCAGTGAGTGTAGACACCACTGGGCGAGGGGTATTCGGGGGACAGAGTCACTTACTTTACAAAGTGAGCAGGCACCTGAGAGTGCAGAGAGCGGGCCGGCGCCACTTCAGCCAGCCAGTCACGCTCGACATCATCAGCAGTGGGGCGTGCTATCCTGTGTCCCCCGATGTGACACGGTGGCCTGTGGAGTAGGCCTGCCCCACATGCCTGGCCTGGAGCTCCTCGTGAGCACACAGCAGATCTACCGTGAGGGCCGCTTGGCAAACCGTGGCTGCCGCTGCCGAATGGAGTCAACAGCAGAGCACGTGGTCTGGAGGTGGGGAAGGGGGTCGTCACCTGGGGGAAGCCGAGGGCCTTTCTCGTGGGAGTGAGCGCACACCAGGCAGGGGAACCACGGGTGCTCACCGCACTACCATCTGTCACACCGTCTGATAAGCAGATACCTTGAAGGTAGCTTGACCCAAGGTCACACAGCGGAGTGAGCAGATTGCTGAGACTCGCACCCAGTGCTTCGACCCTTCTGTTCTCCACACTCCCCGGGCCATGTCTTCTTCCACTGTTGTCAGCTCTGTGAGCTCAGGCCCCCATGCCTCCCACAGTGCCGGCATCCAGCCTGGCAGGACAGGTACTGAATGATGGAATGCAGGCTTCGGAATGGCAGCGGCGGTAGGTCTCCTCTGCGGGTACCGAACGAGACCAATCAAACTTCCATCCAAGGAAGATTCCAGGCTCAAAAATTTCAGCCTTAACATTAAGTTCTAAACCCAGGTTCTGGCTGCGTGCCCTTCCCCTCTTCCCCTCCCGTACTGATTTTTTCATTTATTTCCAAGGATTGCTGAGGCAGCAAATTACAAAAGGCACGTGCTGTCCGCGGCCAGCTACCTGATTTCTCTGGAGGTGTCCCCGCCGCCTGTGCTCTCCCAGAACCTGTCAGGATCTCCGCTTGTCACGGTGCAGCTCAGGCACAGACTGGTGAGTGAACGCGGACTCGCCCTCGCTTCCGTTCTTCGCCTGGCGTCGCGGACACTGGGGAGTCTGTGGGGCTGGAGAAGGAATCTCGGTGGACACGGTTTTCACACGGCGGTGGGACAGGGTTGGTCGCGCGGTGCTGACGTTGGGGGAAAAGGCTTTCACAGATGTGTGTGCGTGGACGTTTCTGCGGAGGGGGTGCGGCGGGCCGCGCTCACTCATCCTGGCTGCAGCCGTTAGCAACATGCCGTGCTCGGGTCTCCGCGGGAAACACGCTCTGGGGCTGAGGGTGGGCCATTTCTCCGCTGTTTGGAGCGGTGAGTTCTTGGTCCTGCTGGGTTGTAACTGGACCTCTGTCCACGTTCGCTTCATCGTTGTCCGTGGGTAAGAATGACAAGTGTCCAGGGACACGGATATGCTCTGTCCTTTCAACAACACACAGCTTTCTCGTGCCAGGATACGTCCCCAGATACACTGTTGATTCAGCACCTGAACGTCGTGCTTTTCAAGGCCTTTGTTTAAGAACTCACGGTGTTTCTGGTTGTTTGGAGTCATGCTGAAGACTTCGTTCCATTCCACCCTGTCCCGTCCCATTCCACCAGCCGTAACTGAAGACCTACTGTGTGCCGGCCGCTGTGTTCTGGGCCCCTCTCGTCCGTCCACGTGGAAGTGTATTTTCATTCCCTCTGTCTGCATGGGCCTTTCCCACCCACCTGCACATACAGTCCCGGCCTCAGAATGCCCTTCCACCCGGCCTCTCCCTCTTTTAAAAAAATCACAAAACATGAAAACTGTTTTAAGTTGTGGTAAAATATACGTAAGGTAGGATTTGCCATCTTAACCATGTGTAAGTGCACAGTCCCGTGTCACAAAGCACATTCACACCACCGTCCGACCCCGGACTCTGCCGTCTTCCTAAACGGACGCTCTGCCCACAGCCCCCGGCGCCCACCATCTGCTCTCTGTCACCTCGAGTCTGACTGCTCTGGGGACCTCGTGGAAGGGGGATCCTCCGGTGTTTGTCCTCGTGGTTCTGGCTTATTTCCCTCGGCACCGTGTCCTCAGGGTCCATCCAGGTGGTAGCAGGTGTCAGGACTTCCTCCTTGGAAGGCTGGATAACGTCCCGTTTTCATGCACATAAGATACGCCCTTTCTGTGCCCACCTGCCCATCTGTGGACATTGGGTTGCTCCCCCTACTGTCCGTAAGGCTGTGAACGTGGGTATGCACTCTCTCTCCCAGGCCCTGCTTTCGGTCCTTCTGGGTGTGTGCCCAGCTGCCGGGTCACAGTCCTACGGCCACACTGGGGCCCCGCTCTTTTTGTACAAAAGCCACGCTTCTAGCTGCAAAAACGTTCTCAGAGTGTCCAGAGATCTCTGGCCCACCCAGCATCCTCTGTCTTCGATGTGTAGACACATTGGGCCCCATTGACACCCATGCCCCCTCAGCCCCCACGTCCGCCTCGCTGGCTCCCAGGACACGTTCCTCTTGGGGGGCCACCCCTGTACCTGGTGGCCCGTCCCCGCGACATCACCTCCTATAACTCCGAGTAGGGGTCCCTATAACACGATTGCATAACTGTTTACTTCTCTGAATTCACGGAAATGCTGAGATGCCCGTGCCACCAAATACTGATGTCACTGATGACCCAAACCCACTGCGGCCCCGTGGCTTTGACATGAAGCCCCTGTTCAGACAGGTTTCCCAACTCCGGGTGCCCCATGGGGCGTGTTTCCCCCAGGCCTGTCCATTCTCTGTGCTCCCGGTTTCTGCCCCGGTGCTGTCCTTCCCTCTGGGTCTGAACCTTGGTGCCATCCTGGGTTCTTGTCTGTGGGCGCCACGCAGGACCCACTGTGATCTTATTGTCAGAGGGTCCCCTCCCTGGCTTGGAGCCCTCATTCTTAGTTCTGCTGGGCCAGGAGCTTCCTGGCCACTCCCCCTGCTTCATCCCTTCCATGTGCCCAGACTGACCTTCTGGAAGCTCAGACCAGATGACCCCATTCGTCTATGTAGAATCTTCCAAGCTTCCCCGAAGAAGAATCTAAACTCTGGGCCTCAGGTGCGGATCTCTGGCCAAGCTTTCCTGTCCGAGTTTCCGCATGAACCTCTCCCTCCAGCGAAGTCAGAGCGCTGCCTCTCCATGTCAGGGCGCGCCCTCCTCCCATCCCCGACCCCTGCGAGAGCCCCTCTGCGGCCTGCTAGTGCCACGCTGGAGGCCACGCCGGAGGACTGTGCAGCCCCACCATGTAGCCGGCCCGTAGGGTTCTTGAGTAGCTGCCCTGGGCCCATTTGGAACCCCTGAGCCCTTCCTCGTGGTGCCTGGCATGGTGCAGGGCAGCGGCTAGGCACATGCTGGGCGGGTGAAAGCCGCTGAAAGTCAGTGGCCCCGAGTGAGGAGCCGTGTCCTCGAGCTGTGCTGTCGTCTGCGTGAGGTCGCGTGGTTCTTTTCATGGAGAGAATGCTTGCCCCTGGGGCGGAGGGATGAGCTCAGAGGCCGTGGAGGTTTGGTCTGGTGCGAGGTAGAGACGTTTTTAGTGCTTCTGTGTTGAGGGTATTACCCTGCGGCACGGAGAGAGCTCGAGTCGGCAATCAAGTGCATATAAATGCAGAGAAGGCTTGTTTTGAAAGACTCTGGAACCTTCGTGTGTTTGAGGTTGAGGCCGGGCAGGACGGGAGGGCTCGGAGGCTCGGGTTCAGGGCCTGCCGTCCTGGTGTGCGGTGCCCGGAAGGCCCCTCCAGAGCTGGTTCGGGATAAGAGCAGGGAGTAATGTCAGTGTCCGTGAAAGGTCTAGAGCACGAAAGCACTACAGGTAAACACGAGGGTGTATTAGTCCTCTGATAAGCTCGTTCACTCACACGTCCAGTCGTTGGTTTGTTCCACAGATATCGGCTCTGTGACGTCGACCGAGTGGCCAGCCTCTCTGTGCCTCCAGTTTTTGAGGTGTAATTACAAACACGGGGCTGATAACATGCCCCCACAGGGCCAGTGAGCTCTTCTTGTTCTGCCCCTGGACTTCCGTGCAGACACAGAAGCCAGCCTTGGCTAACGTTAGCAAAGAGAGTTTTCTGGAAGGACAGCTCGTGGCTCCCGGGGTGGGGGGTGCTCAGCCCAGAGGCCCTGCACTGGTTTTGTCACTTTGCCCCATGGGGCGAGCAGGTGTGGCCCCGTGCTCTGTGTCTGTGTTCCTAGGAGGAGGAGTGAGAGGCTGTGGCAGAAGGTGGTCGGGAAGCAGGCGTCATTCCCCCAAGGGCATGCACGTGGTGCAGTGTCAGGCCGCGGGGGCTGGGTGAGCGGGCGGGAGGACCGCACGCAGCGCTAACGCCCGCGTGCACTTGACCACTGCCCCCTCCAGATGGGTAGATGTGTCTGTGCACGCTGGGGAGCGCACAGACGGAAGCGTGACAGATTCTAGGGTTGAGTGAGCAAACCTTCCAGGGTGTCTTAAAAACAAGGACGAGCGTTGATTCGAGCCCAGGTGAGGACCGCTGCCCGGGATAGCGACCTTCACAGATGAGAGAGAGCGTGGAAGGAATGTGTAACATGGGGCCGTGTGTGCTTCCGTGGCGTCGGGAGTGACAAATCACAGTGACCGAGGACGTTCCAGAAAATGACACGCTCGACCTTGTGCTTTTAGCGCCTGCAAGTTTGCAGGCTTCGGACGGATGGGCCCTCGGGGAGGTTTTGACTCTTATCTTCAGTTTGACGTGTTTCTCGCAGGCTGTTTGCTCACAACGCAGACGGACAGCGTGAGCTCGGGGCAGAAATGGAGCCCTGCTCTGAAGGGTCAGGGAGCCCCTCCGACCGCGGCCGCGGCCGCGGCGTAGCCTCCCTGGGGGCGTGGGAAACATGGAAGGTTTGCTTTATCAGCAGCAGCCGGACTCTCCTCCGAGTGTCAGAGACGCCCTGGGCTCATGGACAGAGGCTGTTTCCCTGAGCGCAGGGCCCGGGTGCCTTTGGGAGCTGGGACCTCTAGGGCCCGCAGCCGTGAGCATGAGAATGTGGCCCTGGGGCCCTGGGCCTCAGTCCCGTGGTTACGGTGTGGGATTCGGCTTCCTTGGGGGTATTGCTACAACCTGTGATTTTGTGAAGAAAAGCCATAAATCTGGCTTTTAAATTATATCTCTGCATTTGCATTGTTGGCAGCTAATTCATATTTGCCTTTAACCTTGTCAACTGAAATATACCTGTGGGTTCAGCCAGTGGGTCGCCACTTTATAAGGTCTATTTTTTGTTAGGTTTTTATTTGAAATGGTTTTAACTTACAGAAAAATTGCAGGACTGTAGAGTTTCTGGGTACCATTCACCCTCCTTCCGCTAACACTATTGTTTTAAAGTAATTACTGAGGCCTGGAAATGGACGGTGATGTTCCCGCACTGTAGACAGCCTTCGGATGTTCTCAGTTTACCCACTTAAGGCTCTTTTCTGTTGAGGATCTGGCTCTCGAGAGCTCCTCCAGCCTGTGGTGGATCTTCAGCTTCTCTGTCTTCATGACCTGGTCACTTTGCAGAACACCCCTCAGTTTGGGACGGTCTGACATCTTCTCGGGATTAGGTTGAGGTCATGCATCTTTGACAAAGAAACCACAGAAGTGAAATCGGGCCGTTCTTACTGTGTCGCATCAGCCTGTATCAGTTTCCTGCGGTGTCCGTAGAAAAGCACCACAGCCGGGGTGGCTGAGACAGTGGAGGCGTATGCTCTCCCGGCTCCGGAGGCGGGGGTCCCGGTCCTGGTCCAGGTGCAGCATGGGGTCCTGGTCCCGGTCCCCGGTGGCAGGCTGGCCCCGCCCCAGGCCCCCCCAGGGCTGCAGGCACCATCTTCCCGCCGCATCCTCGGGGGTCCTGCCCCGTGCGCATCTGCGTCCCACTCTGCTCTCCGCGGGGACTCAGTCCTGTGGGACGGGCCTGCCCAGGGGGCCCCGTGTCACCTGTCACCCTCCACACGCAGTCATATCCGTGGTACGGGGGTCGGGGCTCCCCCCGTGTGGGTTTGGGGGGCAGTTCAG